TCGGTCAGTTGGACAAACACAAATATTTGAAGGCTCCGGGCTTGGTTTTCTGGAATTCTCTGGGAATTTGTTTGAGCTTTCAGAGTTTTTTTTCTCCCTTAATGAAGGAAGGAAACCCACAGAAATAACAGTAATGAAGTGGTAGATTTTAGAAATAGAAATAAATGCAAATAAATGATAACGCTGCCTAATTTTAGAATGGAATTTAATAGGGCTGGTGACAAAATCTTGTGTAATTGTCCCCACATGATTATCTTACGACACTTTATGTGTGAAGGATCCTGTGGCATCAAACACGGGTTTAGAGCTGAGAGGATTTGGGTCTTTGGTGTTTCAGGGCTGTTTTCTAGATTTTTATTGAGTTGAAAAAGTCAAAATCCCCCCAGGTGGGTGAAAGCAGAAAGTAAAACAAACAATGTGATTTTATGTCTCACTTTTAGATGGACCCAGATCTGTGGGTGTTTTTTTTTAATCTTCCTAACAAGTATTTGGATGAGTCAAACAAGCCCAGAGAAGATTAAATGTTGGGCAAACCCCACCTCCCAACCAGCACTGGAACCGTCCTCTCCCCGTGCCTAATTTAGGGCCTGATCCTATCAAAAAATGCCATGAGCAGGTTATGGGGAGGAAGCCAAGCAGCTCCTTGGAGTTGCCTCATGCACAAGGTTCTACGTGCTCGGGGTTTCGCCATCTCCGGGGCAGGAGCCGGGAGCTGGTGCCAGGTAAACAACCTTTCACTGCCAGGTCACGCTGTAAATAATAATCAGTCGGAAATCCCCCGGGAGATTGGCAGATCTCCTTAATGAGGCTCGTGGGGGCTCCATGGGGTGGGAACAGCAGCTCCAGCAAGAGCCAGGTTAAGAGCAGAATCCCAGGATTCTGGAGTAGTTGGGGTGGGGAGGGATCTCTGGACATCTCCTGAGGGAGGACGGGGCACAGGGACATGTCCAGGTGGGTTTGGGGTATCTCTGGAAGGGGACACTCCACTTCTTCCCTGGGCAGATGTTCCAGAGCTCTGCCACCTCCATGGAAATAAATTCTCCCTCTTGCTGAGGTGGAATTGGGGTTTGGTTTATCCTTGTCCTGTCATTGGGCACCACTGGGGAGAGTCTGGCACCACCTGAACTTCTCTGGCAGTTGAAAGTGATGTATTTTAATTGTATTAACATAAAATTTACATTTAAATTGGGTGTAAAATACATATGAAAAAGGCCCTTTGTGTTGTGGAGGCTCCTTGAGGACACATTTGCATTTTGAGTGGAGCCAGAAATGAAAGAAATCATCCCAATATTGAAACTACCCACAGAATGTGAAGTTTTATTTTCCAACCCGTGATCCAGAGGAGATGGAGAAAAGAATCTTTTCCCATCACCACAGCACAACCCCCTTTTTCCAGCAGCTCCTGGGGGACTGTTGTCAGCACAGCCCCACGTGAGGAATGCGGAGCTCTGTGATGTAGTGACACCATCGGGGGTGAAAATTCCACCATGGCACATCCAGGGGCACTTTTGAGACGTGGGAGAGGCTGCTGGGCCAGTCACTTCTTCTGGATGGGGGGCCAGTGGGTGCTCTGCTTGCACTGCTGGCTCTTGATGGGAGGGACCACCACGGGGCATTTCTGCTGCACCACCTGGGCGCATCCCCCACCCTCAGGGCCGAGCTCCGGGCCGGGGAACGCCCCAGTTCCATATGCCCCATATCCATACCCTCCTCCGTAGTACCCTGAGCCCTCAGAGACTCCCCCAGTGCTCAGGGTGTCACTCAGGGGTGCAGAGTATCCATACCCAGCTCCCTCGGCCATTCCTGAATTCCCTCCGTGGTAGATGGATCTTCCACCTCCCCCTGAGCTGCTGATGACCGGCCCCAAGTCCTCGCTGCCGTACCCCATTCCCACTCCGGAGCCGTACACCGGGACCGTCCCCACCACGGGGTCCCAGCCAGATGTGACCCCACAGTCCCCACTGCTGACCACGAGGGACCCGTCGGCGTCACACGAGAACCTCCCTGAGATGCTGAAGGGGGCTGGCGCTGGCGGGGGCGGGCAGGACGAGGGTCGCCGGCTGTAGGTGACGGAGCCTTCCCCGCCGTATGAGAAGGAGGCGCGGCCGTGGCGGTTGGCGAAGTCCCCGGAGCAGAATCCGCGGTGGCTCAGGGACATCTCCCGGCTGTAGCCCCGGTTCCGCCGGGAGCATTTCCGTCGCAGATAGTGGTAAATCTGGAAGAGGAAAGGAAAACATCCCAAAATTTGGGCCGTTTTGCTTCGTGTTGGCGCCAGGGCAGGTGGGGATGTGCCAGGTAGGGTGGTCAGGGACTGGGGCAATTCTAGGCTTTGAAAGTGAGCTGTTAGAGAATCGTGGAATTGTGGGGTGGTTTGGGTTGGAAAAGACCTTAAAGCTCATCCAGTGCCACCCCCAGCTATGGGAAGGGAAACCTTCTGCTAGACCAGGTTGCTCCAAGCCCCTGTCCTTCAAATCCAAGGATATCTGGGCTCTTCCTGGGATAGTTTTCCTCTTTCTACCTCTATTTCCAGAGAATCCAAAAGCTGAAATATGTTCTGAATCCAAAATCTGAAATATAAAATCTGAAATGTATTATTTTTCCCTATAGTAACTGCCATGGTTTCCCCCACTCATTTTCATGTCTACAGAGCTGCAAAAACACCAAGGATCATCCTAATTTCTGTTCCTCACTTGTTGCAAGAGCAATGAATAAAAGTTTTCCATCCTGGCTCTGTTACTGCAGCTCCAAAATTCTTTTATAGAAGGTGATTGGCCCAGACACGGAGGTCGTGGCCATTCTGAGGTCCAGCTCGGGGTTGTTATTAAATAATATAAAAATGTGTCCTGCACATTCAAACCCACAGAGGTTGTGCAGTCCTCACATGCTGGCCCCACCACAGACCCATCCGGGTTCTTACCCTGCTCATCCCTCTGCATCCCTCTCTAGTGCCCTGATTTCACCTTTCTCCACAGGGACTGGACCCAGAACAGAGGTGGAGCCCACCCAGATCCCCAGGAATTGGCTCAAGGCAGAGGGGTCCTGCTGCCAGCACCAGCCAAGGTATCAAATGAGCTGCATCCCCTGACTAGGAAAGAATAAAATCCCAGAAAAAAACCCCAGACTTACCCTCTTCAGCCATCGGAAACACATTTAGAAGGTAAAGGTCGACTGAATGAGGAGCTTAAACAGCCTCAGGAACATTTATATGGCGTTTAACATGTATGGGAAGTGAGACACCCTCGGGAATGAGAAGGATTTATTTACCGAACTGCTATTTCAGTGTTTGCTTTGACTCCCGATCCATATCTCCCTGCACACCGCTCATTTCGCTGCTGTAATTGTTACTTCTGCTTAATGAGCCTATTCCTGTGCCCCTGCCCTGGGCTACGCAGGAACCCTCCTGCCCCCAGCCCGGGAGAGGTGGGTGGGGGGTGTGGGTGTAGAATGCACAGCGAGAGCGGGGACAGTGGGGCACAGGGGAGGAACAGCTCCCAAAACTCTGGTGACAATCTGATCTCTCCCCGGTGGCTCCAGGGGGAACTTTTTCCGAGGAAAACATTTGCATATGAACCAGAAGACCGTTCAAAGTGATTGATGCCCTAAGTGGGAATTTTGCAAGGGTGCTGGAAGTGCCCAAAGAGATCTTAAAAGCAGAATTTGCGGAGGTGTGAATGTACTGATGCTTAAACCCAGCCTGTCTGGATTACGCTTTAATGAAGGATTATGCCTCCACATCCCTCCCTTCCTTCTTGTTCATCTCCTTCCCCCGGTTTGGAACGAGCACCGGGGCCTGGTGGGGGTCGCAGACCCCAGTTGCTCCAGCCCGGCCCCTCCTGGAAGCTGGACCGGCTCCGGGGAGTTCTGCTGTGGGGACAAAAAGTCCCGGTTTTGGCCAAAGCCCCATCCCCAGGCAGAAATCCGTGCGTGGGGCAGGGGGACTGCCAGGGCAGGGTGCAAAGCCTGGGGAGGGGGGGATTTGAGGCCAGGAGGAAGATTTGGAGGTGCTTGAGAGATTTGATGGTGGTTTTATTTCCGCCTGCCCGATCTGGGGTTGGGTTGACTGGTTGGCAGGTGAGGCTTCCCTCTGTGTACAGATCATGGAATTCCAGAATCCCTGAGGTTGGAAAAGCCCTCCCAGACCATCGAGTCCAGCCTGTCCCGTCTTTGTCAGCCAGCCCAGAGCACTGAGTGCCACATCCAGTCCTTCCTTGGACGCCTTCAGTGATGGGGACTCCAAACCTCCCTGGGCAACCCCATCCAAGGCCTGACCACCCTTTCCATGAGGAAATTCCTCCTGGTGTCCACCCTGAGCCACTCCTGGTACAGCTGAGGGTGTTCCCTCAGCTTGCTGCAGGAAGAGGGAGGATGGCAAGGCTGTGGATGTTGTCATGGAGGTTTTATTGCCCACCTGGGGCATCACCAGCTGCTGTTGGGTCATCCCCAATCCCTGCTCTTCCCGACTAAACCTGCTGGGCCTGGTCACATCTCCCATCAGGTCCACAGAGGTGGTCATTTGTGTGCTGGCACCTCAGAGGACACAGAGGGCCTGCACCATGCCCAGGCATCAAAGGGTGTTGGTGCTGTGGTTCCTTCGAATTTTGGGGTCTTCTGTTCCTCCTTCACAGAGCCCAGGTGGAAAATGAAGGTGCAAAACCTCTGGGACATAAACTGGGTGGTGTGGAGTGAAACATCTCATCAGCATCTCAACATTTCTACATCCCAAGAACATAAAGTGCAGGTTGGTAGTGCAAAAAAGAAGTGAACTCCCAAAAAAGGGGTAGATTTGAGCAATTGTAACATTTATTGGTTGTCAAAAGTTGCGGAACATTATCAAAGGCACCCCAACACCAGGAGCAGGGCACAGCAGAGCAATCCTGGAGATCTCACACGAGGATGCAGCATCCAGGGGACAGGAGGGGACACACTGGGAAGGACCAGGCAGCAGAGCCAGGCAAAGAGGAGCCGTGGCAGGAGCTCAGAACTGGAGCTGTCTAGGGCTGTTACTTCTGCTGGCCGTAGGGCCAGTAGGAGCTCTGCTTGCTCTGGTGGGACACCACGCTGGGGATGACAATGGGACATTTCTGCTGGGAGGAGCCTCCGCCGCCACCTCCAGAGCTGATGATGATGGTCTGGCCCGAGGAGCCGCTGCTGCATCCTCCTCCCATCCCATAGCTGGATCCTCCACCACAGCATCCTGAGGATCCACCTCCAATGATGGTCTTCCCTCCTGAAGAGCCACCACCGTACCCTCCTCCCATGCCATAACCTGAAGATCCTCCACCACAGTATCCAGAGGATCCTCCACTACCTCCCCCTACAATGATGCTCTTTGATCCTGAGGATCCACCACCGTACCCTCCACCCATCCCATAGCTGGATCCTCCACCACAGCATCCAGAGGAACCTCCACTACCTCCCCCTACAATGATGGTCTTTGATCCTGAAGATCCACCGCCATATCCTCCACCCATCCCATAGCTGGATCCTCCACCACAGCATCCAGAGGAACCCCCAGTGCTTCCACCTCCAATGATGCTCTTTGATCCTGAAGATCCACCATATCCTCCACCCATTCCGTAGCTGGAGGAGCCCCCACTGCAGCATCCAGAGGAACCTCCACCTACAATGATGCTCTTTGATCCTGAGGATCCACCACCGTACCCTCCACCCATCCCATAGCTGGATCCTCCACCACAGCATCCGGAAGAACCTCCACTGCTTCCCTCTCCCAATATGATCTTGGTTCCTGAAGACACACCACCACATTCTCCACCCATGCCATAACCCGAAGATCCTCCACCACAGTAACCAGAGGAACCTCCACTACCTCCACCTCCAATGATGCTCTTTGATCCTGAAGAGCCACCACCGTACCCTCCTCCCATGCCATAACCTGAGCATCCTCCGCTGCTTCCCCCTCCAATGATGCTCTTTGATCCTGATGATCCACCACCGTATCCCCCTCCTATCCCATATCCAGAGGAGCCCCCACTGCAGCAAGATCCCCCTCCTCCACCACCAGAGGTGATGATGACTTTTCCGGAGCTCCCTCCACCCCCACAGCAGGAGGAGCCTTGGGACTGGTAACTGGAGGAGCCGCTCCCGTGGCAACTGGAGCCTCCGCTGTGGCACCCGCTGGACTGGGAGGACATCCCATGGCAGCCTCCGGAGCTTTGTCTGGAACACATCTTGGAGCAGTGACCCTGCAAGGAACCGGGCTGTCAGAAAGGAGAATCTTGGAGATGCAACTGAGCCTTCCCAGCTCAGGAAGAGTTCCTGGGACTTGCCCCGTTTTGTCCCATTTTCTGCAGCCCTACTTTGAACTCCCACCCTGAGACCTGCCGTGACATCCCAGGGAGCTCTCTGCAGGTCACAGCAGTTCCGGGAACCTTCCCAGTGCAGGAAGGTTGGGAACACTTCCCGAGGTTTGCACACATGCTCTGACATGCCTAAAAAATGGTGTGGATCCTTCTGGATGTCTCACACTGACTCAGCAGCTGAAAGCTCAGCTTTCAGGGTTCCACCTGCAACGCCCCTGTCTAAGGGAGGGAGTTCTGTTGGCACCTCCAGTTGGTTTTTGGTGGAGCCGCCACAGTTCAAAGAACACCCAAAGACAAACTGGTGGAGGGATCTCCCTGCGTAGAGGTTCCAGAAGTTTCCGTATCCACGGACTTACCTTCAGTGCTGGTGGGAACGTTGCGATGCTCGGTGGGGGTTGAGTGAGGAGCCCTGGGATAGTTGAGCTTTTATACTGGTTGCATTGCGCTCCCGAGGGAAGTGAGACACCCTGAGGAATGCTGAGAGATTTATTGACAGAGCTTGGCCTCAGCTGCCTCCTTCCTTGACTCACTTGCAGCAGAGGTGATGCGAAGGAGGCGCATCAGCCCCGTTCTGTATCGTAGTCGCTAATTCCGCTTAATGATTCCCTTCCGGGAACCTCGCTCCGAATTTTCGGGACAAACGACATCTGGGGGTCTGTTTTGAGGGGAGGGCAATGTGTTTCTGCTGGGATGGAGCTCCCTGGGTGCTCAGGACAGAGTGGGGACTGAGCAGATGCCAAGTGGAGTGAGTTGGAGCCAGAAAGTGATGGAAGGACCAGGATAAAGGATGTGCTAGAGCAGAGTCCCAGAGAATTTTGGAGAATTCCCTCAAGGACTGGCAAGATGGGGAGTAGGAGCATGTCCATCCTGCTGGGAAAGGCCAGAGGTGCCGCCCCAATGGAGTTCCCTGCTGCCCAGATCTGTGTCAGAGGACGATGTGAGGGTGACAGTGACAAAGGGGATTTTTCCTCCAGTCTTTTGTGACCCCAAGGTGGAAGTGGCTGTTGGATTTCCATGGAAGTCTGTGCTCAGCTCCAGCTTCCAGGGGTCTCAGTCTCCAGGCTGGAGTGGGGAAAACCTTAGAATCCTTCTGTTTTCAAAGTTGCACTTGAAGGCCATCAAGACCTGACCCTTGAACACCAGGACGTTACTTCTACCTCAACAGGACCTCTTCCTGAGGGTCTTCAGTGGCCACCCCACCCACACCTGAGCAGGGGAGTCACCTGGATATGTTCCCTGCTGAAGGATGACAGTTTGTCAGCACAGCTGTCCCAGCACCAGCTCTGTGTCACGCGTGTTTGGAGCCTGACAGCAGCATCCGCCCTCCCAGGACACTGAGTAGAGGAAGGACTAATAGGGCTTTTGGCTGTGGGGATGAGTGACAGCAGCAGCAGGTCCCAGTTGTCACCACAAACGTGACTTTGAACATGCACACGCGACGCCCTTGGGATGGGGACAGGGCCACCAGCAATGGGGACACACGTGCAGGGGCTTCCTTTGTTCAGCTTTGGAGTTCCTCCGTGGCCTTATCTCTGTTCTCATCTCCAGATCTGAGGTGTCACCGCTGTTCTGGCTCCCAGCTCTGATGTGTGGGTGTTGTACTCCTGAGGATCTCAACACCTTGATCCCTTCCATGCCTTCAACCTGTAGGGACTTGCCCAGATTAGGATTTAGGATTAGCCAGACTCAGGATTAGCAGCTCATTGGCACAGAGGGACACCCAGCATGAGCAGCTCGTCTTGACCCAGGCATGAGGAAAGGTCGTGGAGGTTTTTGGAGGGGTGGTGAGAGGAGCTCCTGCAAACCACAGAGTGTGGAGAGCCCACGGTGGGACCCTTGGAAGCAATGGACCTGTAGCACATGGATTTGTTTGCCAGAGGTGTAGCAAAAACATGGCTGGAGCACAAGGTCAGCACTACCATATCCTCTCCAGATTAGGGAGATAAATTTTGGATACCTGTGTTGGGTAAAGGGAAATGGGGATGTAAAAGGCTTTGGGGCCATGTTCTCAGTTTTGTGATGCTCTGCTGGGCCCTTTTCCCCACAGTCCTGGAGCCCTTGGGAAGAGCTGGTGGGTCGTGGTGCCTCTTCATCTCCTCACTGCAAACACCTTGGTGGGTGGTTGATATGAGAGAGGACAAATCCCTAGCCAGATCCTACAGCACCCTCGATCCCTTTTCCCACCAGATTCCCTCAGGCACAGTGATGCTGACAGTGTGGGGCATGATACTGGAAAAGAACTCTCCAGTTTTCTCCAAAAGGCAGGAATTTGTCAGTCGTGATCCATCAAGAGTTTCATGGCTGATGATCCGTGTAATTCCTAATTTTGTTTCCTCCCTACCGGGTGTGTTTGTGAGGTGAACAAAAACCCTCTGGGCTTAAAGTTTACTGGACTCAAGACTAATCCCACCAGTTCCAAAGAGGACTTTGGGAGTCCTTTTTAAGAGGATTTTCCAGCTTTGAGAAGAAAGCCAACTGTCTCTGGGCTGCATCCAAAGCAGAGTGGGCAGGATGGTGAGGGAGGGATTTTTCTGCTCTGGTGAAATCCCACTGCGAATGCTGTGTCCAGTTCTGGTGTCCCCAACATAAGAAGGACATGGAATTATTGGAGCAAGTCCAGAGGAGGCCATGAAGTTGATAAGAGGAGCCCCACCCCTAGGAAGCTAGTCTGGGAGGGCTGGGAATGTTCAGCCTGGAGTAGAGGAAGTTGTTTGGAGACCCCAGAGCCCCTCCCAGGATCTGCAGGGGCTCCAGAGAAGCTGGAGGGATTTTTCCTCAGGGACTGCAGGGATAGGACACAGGGAATGGGTTCAGGATGAAAGAGGGGAAAATCAGGTTGGATATAGGAATGATCTGTTGATGAGTGCCTGCTCCAGCACTGGAGGCTGGAGAACATTTCTGAGCAGAATGTTTTGGATGTTTTACTCATTTTTTGGGAAGCAAACTGACAAAGGGGAAAAGCAACCTCACAAACCAGTTCTGTCCGTACACAGAAATCTTTATTTGCTGTCACATTTATGGCACAGAGGAGCCACCTGGGAGTTCACAGCACAGGGATGCAGCACCAAGGGAACACAAGGGATGGGGATGTGCTGGGGGAAGACTTGGAGGCCAAACACTCGTCTGTTCCCGATGAGAACCAGAGCTGCCCAAGGCTGTTACTTCTGCTGGCAGGGCCAGTGGGAGCTCTGCTTGGTCTGGTGGGACACCACGCTGGGGATGACAACGGGACATTTCTGCTGGGAGGAGCCTCCGCCGCCACCTCCAGAGCTGATGATGATGGTCTGGCCCGAGGAGCCACCACCAGATCCGCCACCGCAGCATCCAGAGGATCCTCCACCTCCTCCGCCTCCCATGATGATCTTCCCTCCTGAAGAGCCACCACCAGATCCCCCTCCGCAGCATCCGGAGGAGCCTCCTCCTCCACCGCCAGAGCTGATGATGATCTTCTGAGCTGATCCCCCACTGCCACCGCTGGATCCGCCACCGCAGCATCCGGAAGATCCTCCACCTCCCATCATGCTCTTTGAAGATCCACCACTGGATCCGCCACCGCAGCATCCGGAGGATCCACCACCACCTCCACCTCCCATGATGATCTTCATCCCAGAAGAGCCACCGCTGGATCCGCCACCGCAGCATCCAGAGGATCCACCGCCGCCTCCACCTCCCATCATGCTCTTTGAGGAACCACCACCGGATCCCCCTCCGCAGCATCCGGAGGAGCCTCCTCCTCCTCCTCCGCCACCAGAGCTGATAATGATCTTCTGGGCTGATCCTCCGGAGGATCCTCCACCGCAGCAGGATCCGCCTCCTCCCCCGCTGGAGGAGCCCTGGGACTGGTAACTGCCCCGGCAGCAGCAGCAGCAGCCGCAGCCGTGGCACCCGCTTTGTCTGGAGCACATCTTGGAGCAGTGACCCTGCAAGAGAAAGTTTTTTACTCCAGGGCAGCCACCAGTTCTCACAAGTATTTCCCAAGGCCTGTGACCCCACTCCAACCCAACACCACTTTGTTTTGTCAAGGATCATCTTTTAAAGATTTTTATCCCAAAGTTGTCCCATCTCCTTATCCCAAAGCCATTCCATCTCCATCTCAATGCTGATGAGAGACAATCTTCAGCAGCACGGGCTGATCCTGCTTTTTCTTGGTCTGGTGGGACCAAGGCATGCACAAGAGATTTAAATTCATCCCAGCAACTTCCCTGCCCTACTACCACCACCCACCAGATGTTTTTTTCCAAAACTTTTGCATTTTGGAAGCAGGAAAGGAAGAGAAGAATCCCTCTCTTGGGCAGACCTGGACTTACCCTTCTTGGCTGTGACCACGGACACCTCAGGGCAAAGCTGAGCGAATGAAGCACCCCAAGATCCACCAACTTTTATACCGTTTTTCCTGAGTGGGAAGTGAGGCATCCAAAGGAATGGTGATAGGTTTATTTACCAAACAGACTCTCCTCCTCCTTCCCACTTGTCCTGACTCACTGGATGCGGACGATGCCTCTCCCGTGCATCATTTCCTCGGTTGCCCTGCATCCACGGCAGATCCCACACGTGAGCTCGGCTCCCGCGGTTGAATTCCCAGGTAGGATTCTGGGGCTCCAGTAGGATTCTGGAGGTTGCCACCCTCCACTCCAGCCGGGAGACGCCGCTGGTGACCGACACCAGAAGGGGCTGGGGAGCCTCATTTGTTTGAGTGTTACACACTGGAGGAACAGGAGTGTAACACTGGTGGGGTGTCTGTGCAAGGCTGGGAGTTGGACTTTGTTGATCCTTGGGGGTCCCCTCCACCTCAGGATATCCTGTGACTCCACGATCCTGTGACTGTGATTTCCAGGGGAATAGGGGTGGGACTCATGTTTCTGGGGCAC